CTCTCACCAACACTTACCACAGGGCCGGGCATGGTGGCGGGCATCTTAAATGCCAGCACACAGGAGGCTAAGGCAGATGGATCTCTGTAAATCTGGAGCCAGTCTGGTCTACATGGGTAGCTCCAGGTCAGCCAGGGTACATAGTGAGACCGTATCTAAGTAAATACGCAATAGAGAAATATCCCAGGTAGCAATGCTTCACTTGAGCCTGGGGAGTCTGACACCTGAGCCTGCTGCCTGCTCGTCACCCCTGGGCAATACTCCTGGCTCTAAGATGCCCAGACAAGCAAAGACTGCTGTCAGAAGGCGGTGAGCGAGGACTGGGACTCCGTCTCATTGTCATGCACCCCCTGGGATCTCCATCCACAGGTGGGGCAGTTGGCTACCGTCTACTGCTGTAACAAACCTCTGACAACGTCAAAGGAGAAAGTTTATTTCAGTCATCCTTTTAGAAGCTTTAGCTTGCAGACAGGGTCTCACTTTGGAGTCCACACTAGCCTCCGGCTGGTTATGAAACCCATGGCAATCCTCCACCATCTAGCGGTGCGGAGCCGCTGCTCAAGCCTTTAGCACTTAGGCCCTGGAGGACAGTCCAGATCCACCTGAGCAGGCACCAGTCATACCCCGGCCTTGACAAGTGTCTGCAGAGACACCATCCAGCACTCAGCAGCCACCGAGGTGGCTGTCACATGTCGCCTTCTCAGATGTGACAAGGTTAGGGGCAAGACATAAGTATCCAGGTGTAGTACTTAGGGCTGTAACCCTAGCACTCAGGGAGCAGAGCCAGAAGGGTCTCAAGTTTGAGACCAGCCTGATCGACAGAGAATTGCAGGTTAGTATGGGCTACGAAACAAGATCCCATCTCACACGTACGTACATGCGCACCCCAAAAAGAAAAGCAGCTAAGAATGAATGTTAGGTGACAACACCTGATGGAGGAAGGTCATTGGCTAATAAAGAAACTGGCTTGGTCCATTTTATTGGTTAGAACATAGGTGGGTGGAGTAAACAGAACAGAATGCTGGGAGGAAGAGGAAGTGAGCTCAGAGACAGACTCCATAGCTCCTCTCTGAGACACTTGCGATGAAGCTCCAACCCAGGATGGACGTAGGCTAGAATCTTCCCAGTAAGCGCACCTTGGGGTGCTTACACACATTATTAGAAATGGGCTAGTCCAGGTGCGAGAGTTAGCCGAGAAGAGGCTAGATAGAAATGGGCCAAGCAGTGTTTAAATGAATACAGTTTGTGTGTTGTTATTTCGGGGCATAAACTAGCAGGCGGCTGGGGTGCTGGGGATACAGCCCCGCCACTCCTATTGCAACAAACACCTCCCATTATTTTCTGTGGGCCAAGCAGAGCTGAGCCAGCCTGTCACTCATGTGCCATAGATGTGCCCCTCACCCCATCCTCATCGTCAAGTCAGCGACCCCTTGTCTGGCCTCTGACCTCACTGCTCCTTACCCCACCCCCCTGGTGGCCAGGGTAACACTTCTGCCTCTCTTCCCGGTAGATCTTTCAGGGTGACGGTCCCCTCAGTGCCTGCCTGCCATTGTCGTTGCTGTGTCCTGGAACTTTCTCCAAGCACATTAGGCCGCACCACAGTGCTCCCTGTTCACATGTCCTGTGCCCCACTTTGGGAATGATCTCAGAGCTTTGCCTTTAAACTGGACTGTGTCCCCTTGGACGTGACCCCGTTCTGTAGGTGCTTTCAGAGAATAGAGTCTCTCCCCCGTAGCCGAACGGCTCAAAGTGGCCTCCTGGGAAATATGGGCTAGAGAAAACAAAGGAAATGGTGTTGGTTTTCTGTTTTCTTTTTCTTTCTTTTTTTTTTTTTTCCTGAGACAGGGTTTCTCTGTGTAACAGTCCTGGCTGTCCTGAAATTCGTTCTATATACCAGGCTGGCCTCAAACTCAGAGATCCACCTGCCTCTGCCTCCCAAAAGGCGCGCGCCACCACCAGCAAGCAAGCACCAAATGATATCCTGAAGACACAGTAGATGGAATATGTGTCTGCACGCGCGCGCACACACACACACACACACACATACACGGCTCTCCCAGCACCTTGGTGCGAGACAAGCTGCCTTGGCGGCTCTGGGAGGAGACCTATGGAATAAGAGGCTGGCAGGGTGGAGCAGGGTTGGGGGTGAGGACACTACACAGATATTCAGCCTCCTTATCTGGAGAAACCAGGGCAACATGGCTACAAGCCCAGGGGTAGGTAGATGACCCGATGACCAAAAACATAGGTCTGAAACAGAGACCAAGCCATGGCCCATCTGCCTTAGCCCACTAACCCTCTACCCAAAGGGGTAAAGACCTGAGCCATCCCTTGTGTCTAGACCATGCTCTTCCCCAGCAGGGCCACAGTGTACTCAATGTTTTGTCGTCTTAGCTCTAAACTCTACAACAACCAACGACAGAATAAAGGGGCAGCCAGCCAGACAGGGATGCAGCACTGGGGACTCATTCAGGAGGATCAGGTGTTCAAGGCCATCTTTGTCTACACACTGAGTTTGAGGCTAGCCTGGGCTACATGCGATCCTAGTCTCAAACAGGAAAAAACAATAACAACAAAGAAACCTAGTGAGGCATGGTGTGGCAGGCCTGTAATCCCAGTGCTTGAGAAGCTGAGACAGGAGGGTATCAATTCACAGGTGGCCTGGGCTACACAGGAAGACCCAGTTACAAATAACAATAATAATTTTAAAACAAAAATAGGGATGGGGAGATGGCTCAGTCAGTACTCTTTGCACAGGCATGGAGACCTGAGTCCCATCTCTAGCCTCTGTGTAAACATCCATCTGTGGTCCATCCTTCAGTCTGAGCAGAGGAAAATGGGTCCCTGGTGCTCACTGTCAACCACCAATTTACTTGGTGAGCTCCAGGTCAGCAAGAGAGCCTGTTTAAAAGAGCAGGGCTCTGCCAGGAGTGGAGTACACACCTTTAATCCCAGCACTCTGGAGACCAGCCTGGTCTACAGAGTGAGTTCCAGGACAGCCAAAGCTACACAGAGAAACCCTGTCTCAAAAAACCAAAACCAAACAACAACAAAAACAAGACTCCTAAAGACCTTCACCAGAGGTCCTCTGGCCTGCACACGCACACACACATTCAAAAGAATAGTGGGTATCAGGCTGCCTGTGGAGCTGAGTGACAGGTGACATGAGCCATATGCAGATCCTGGGTCCTCTGCAGGAGCTGTGTATGCCCTTTAACAGCTGAACCATCTTTCTAGCCCATTGTTTTTCTTTTTATTCTTTATCTTTTTCTTTATGAGACAGGCTCTTTCTATGTAGTCCCAGTTGTCTTAGAACTCACTCTGCAGACCAGTTTGGCCTCAAACTCAGAGATCTGCCTGCCTCTGCCTCTTTGGGGCTGGGATTAAAGACAGGCGCCACCAGGCCTGGCTTTATTGCTGTTAGAATATTTTGTACCGTGTGTAGTCATCCAGTGCTGCCATGGGCAGCTAGCAGCTACACAGCCTGTGCCTGGCTAAGACACAGCCTGTGCTGCAGGCTAAGACCTGTCTTGAAAAACCTGTTTCTTCAAACTTTGTCTTAATTTTTCAAGATGAAACACAGTTTTATTATTATTATTTTAAGGGTTATTTATTATGTATACAGTGTTCTGCCTGCATGTATGCCTGCAGGCCAGAAGAGAGCACCGGATCCCATTACGAATTATGAGTCACCATGTGGTTGCTGGGAATTGAACTCAGGGCCTCTGGAAGAGCAGTCAGTATTCTTAACCACTGAGCCATCTCTCCAATCCTCCACAGTTCTAATTTGTGATGCTCCTGTATCAGTTCTGGGCAGTTTTCAGTTAAAAATATTATTATTATTATTATTATTAGAAACTGGTTTATTTTCCTGCTTCTTTGCAATACCTCTAATTTTTTTTGTTTTGTTTTGTTTACTTGTTTGAGACAGGGTTTCTCTATGTAGCCCTGGCTGTCCTGGAACCCTATATAGACCAACCTGGCTTTGAACTCACAGAGATCTGCCTGCCTCTGCTTCCTGAAAGCTGGGGACTTAATATGTGTGCCAACATGCCTGGCTCCTCCAGATATTGTTTGTTTGTTCGTTTTTTTCAAGGCAGGGTTTCTATGTGTAGCTTTGGAGCCTGTCCTGGAATGCACTCTGTAGCCCACGCTGGCCTCACAGAGATCCACCTGCCTTTGCCTCCTGAGTGCTGGGAGCGCTGTCTCCCTGGGCATGGTGACACATGCCCACCCAGCACCCAGGAGGCTCACATGGTTGTCCTGAGCTTCATAGCGAGTTCCATGCCAGTCAGGGATGATACTTAGTGAGACTTTGCCACAAACAGACCAAATTGTGAATGCCATCAAATTTTTAAAGATTTATATGTGTTTTGCCGGGCGGTGGTGGCGCACGCCTTTAATCCCAGCACTCAGGAGGCAGAGGCAGGTGGATCTCTGTGAGTTCGAGGCCAGCCTGGTCTACAAGAGCTAGTTCCAGTTCCAGGACAGGAACCAAAAGCTACAAAGAAACCCTGTCTCGAAAATCAAAAAAAAAAAAAAAAAAAGATTTATATGTGTTTTGCCTGTACCACCTGCTTGTTCGCGGGGGTCAGAAGAGGGCGTTGGATGCGTTGGATTCTCTGGAAATGGATGTGTGCATCTATCTCTTGGGTGCTGAGAACCTAGCAAGATCTCCGCAAGATCAGTAAATGCTCTTAACCCCTGAGCCATCTCACCAGCTGAAACTTAATCTTACTCAGATTTCTCCAGTCTGAGTAACTTTACTGATCAGGACGTGACAGTTTGGACCAGATCTTACCAAGTTGCCCGTGAGCCAAACAAGTGGCATCCCGGGGTTCGGGGGGCTCTACCTGTGTCTTCCCCCCTGCTCAGCGGGAAGCTCAGAGGAGCTTGACATTCGGGTCGTAGGGTGTCCCACGCATTTCCGCTTCACTACAACCTGCTTGCAGACATGGGAACAGAAAGCAGGGAGGGCCACGGCTCCACACCCGGGTACAGCCCTGCACGCCAGCTCCCGGTTCCCCGGATTCTGCGGTGCAGCCGGGAAATCACGCCGCCCGGCCACCTTCCCGCTGTGCGGCCCTTTGCCGCCCCCTGCCGCCGCGGCGTGGACACGGCAGGCCCGCCCACCCGCCTCCGGATTGGCCAGTGTGCAGGACTCGGGCGCAGAGGCCCTGCCTCCTCTCCGGGTCCTTTGATCACGCGCCGGAGGGCTCTTCCGGGGCCAGAGCCAACCCACGGTGTTGCTGTCAGAGCTGCTCGGCGGGAGGTAAGGCATGGCTGGGCTGGATGGGCTGCACCGCGCCAGCACCTAGCATCGGGATGCCGGGGTTCCACGGTGCCCACGGGGGCTGCGACCCCTCGGCATGGCCCAGCTTCCCTTCCCCGCCCTGATCCCCGAGCCTCCCCGCACCGAGGGAGCCACCTTCTGCCCGCTGTGGCGGGCCAGCAGCATCCTAAGAGCGGCCTCATACCCTTCCGGTTCTGGCCCCTTGACCTGAGGACGGGAAGCTCGCGACTGGGAACTGGCAAAACTGGCCCACGGACAGGGGGCAATTAGCTTGTATCTCTTCCTCTCTTAGACTGGGATAGGAACTTGGGCCATCTTTAGTGCCACCGCCCCAGGATGATCTCCTTTCTATCGATGGGGGCCGTCCTCTCCACCTCTGCCAGTCAGCCCTGCCTGGGAGGGGAGCGGACATGGGAGGAGCCCCGGGTGTACGAGGCAGGTGACATCATCTAGAAGATAGGGTCCACCTCTACACAGCATCCACACTGAGGACCGTGTCTAGGGTTACATCAGGCACTAGGAGGGTGTAGAACCCAGGCCTGGAGCCCCTAGCCTGTAGTGGGGACGGAACCAGGACCCCTTCACATGATCCCACCTCACCCCTTCTCTGCAGTGCAGGGCCCTCTTGTATCTCTTCCCTCCATCTAGCCTTGCCCCTGCACCTAACCTTCTCCCAGCAGTTAACACCTACAAAGGCTTAGGCGGCTGAGCTGGGCCACACCCTCACGTGTGCGTAAGCGCTGGGCAGGAAGCAGGCGGCCTGGCTGGGATCTGGGCCTACCCTTGGTGTTCTGAGCCCCTGTTATCTGGGTGTCTCATCCTAGTGTTGAGGCTGGCCTCAAGTTTTCCTGGATGGATTCCCACTCCAGCTCTGGGGGAGGGATACAAACCTGCTTGTCACCATAGGGTACAAATGGTAACCTCCCTTCCTCCTCCCCAGGGAGCCCAGGGGAGGCGCCCTCCCGAGGCCACCATTGCCCATGCAGACCACCCAGCCATCTGGCTACTGATGTCATGAGTAACACGACAGTGCCCAATGCCCCCCAGGCCAACAGCGACTCCATGGTGGGCTATGTGTTGGGGCCTTTCTTCCTCATCACCCTGGTCGGGGTGGTGGTGGCTGTGGTAAGGAGCCCCCACATCAGACGTGGCTAGGGCAGCCGCTGGGTGGGCCTGGCCTGGTGCCCACAGCATCTCAGCTGTCCTTCAAGGGTGTGGATGTGGGTCCTCGGCAGGGACACGCTGACCTCCCAGCTCCTACAGTCCTATGTCTCTGTTACAGGTAATGTACGTGCAGAAGAAAAAGCGGTGAGTGCCTGAACCCCGGCACTATGCCCTCTAGCTGAAATGCTTCTCTTTTCCAGGCTTTGGCTAGTTATTGGTGGCCCTTTAATGACCCAGTTATCTCTGGCTTGAGGGAGGGAAGCAGGGTTAGGGCCCAGGTTGAGCCTTACCCTCCCATTCCCCAAGGGTGGACCAGCTTCGCCATCACCTGCTCCCCATGTACAGCTATGACCCTGCAGAAGAGCTCCACGAGGCGGAGCAGGAGCTGCTGTCTGATGTGGGCGACCCCAAGGTGAGAGCACCATCCTGCCCTCTAGACAAGTCAGGCACCACTAACAGAAGCTTGGCACAGGGTGGCTGGAGCCTCTTGCACTCTTCCCCACAGGTGGTGCACGGCTGGCAGAGCAGCTACCAGCACAAGCGAATGCCCCTGCTGGACATCAAGACATGACGGTTCACAACCCTCTTACTTGCTATCCACAGCTGGCCCTAAGCCTGTTTTCCTTGTGGAGTGGGTGACAGCCTTGCTTTCTCTAGCCTGCTTGGACCTTGCTGTGGCACAATCCAAGAGGCCTCTGGAGTTGTTCCCATGGCGACAGGCCCAGTTGTATAGTATCCGGTGTATATATTTTGTAAATAAACTTTGATGGCTTCACTTTACCCTCGGTGTGTGGGGCAGGCTGGCTGCGGGCAGTATCTTTTACCCTTTGATTGCTTCATGCCCTGCTTACCCATTTCACACACTGGCAGCTCAGTCCAGAAAAGGCTATTTTTTTATTCAAGTAACTGCAAATAGGAAATCAGAGGAGGAGCCCCAGGCCGGGACAAATACTGACCACCCCTCCCCCACAGAACGAGGGGAGATGGTCCTACACCCCTTTCCCATCAAAATGGGCCCCCCTCCTCACTCTGCTGCAGCATCCAAGGGGCAGGGCCCCATTGTCCCTGGTGTGGGGTGGTTGGTAGCCAGCCTGCTGCACCCCAGCCCCCCTTCCCCCTCTAGTGTCTCGGGGAGAATGCAGGCAGAACGGGAGGATGAACTTTTGGCGCTGGTAGCAGCAGCAATGGTGGGTGTCTAAGAATGAACATTGAACAGAAACAACACAACTGTCCAGAGGTAGTTTGTGAACAGAGGAGAAGATGGAACCAGAACCTTGGGGGGCAGGGAGGAGCAAAAGGAGGGGGGCAAGGCTAGCTCCTTGGTGCCCCACTGGAGGAAGGGTAACAGCCTAGAGTGGGGGAGGTGAGTTAGCGCCCCATCTGCCTTAGGTGAATGCTAGAGAATAGGACCTCACCCTGGAGATGGGTGTGACCCCCATCTGTCACTGCATTGGGTCCCAGGTGAGAACAAGGTGGGTGGCCCATCACGTCCTGCTTCCTGTAGCCCAAGGGACTCTAGCCAACCTAATGCAGGGTCTAGGTAAGGTGGGGCAAAAGTGATTGAGAAACCCACCTGGTGACTGTTCGGTGAGGGGTGGGGCATGCTGGGATCTATGTATCCCTGCACTGACCACACTTGCTGCGGCCAGGTCAGCCAATGGGGTTTGTCTGAATTGAGATGGGGCTGGGGCCCTTTAAGGCCAGGGAATGCTCCCAGGACCCTATACAAGGAAGCCAGGAACAGCAGAGCAGAAGGGACCTGCAAAAGAAAGAGCCCAGAGAGCAACATCTCCAGGGTAGAGCGCAGCAGGGCAGGCTGCGGCTAAGTGGGAAGTTAGCCTTGTCGGGAGAGGGCAGGTGTGTTGGGAAGGAGGGCACAGGGACTGAGCCAAACCCTGCTCCCGTGGGTGCCACAGAGCCTGCAGCTGGTGCGGTAGTGTGCAGTGGGGGTTGGGAGGGGGCTGGAAGCAGGGCTTCCGGTCCCAGGGGAAGCTGCTCCTGTGGTGGCCAAGGAGCAGGCAGCACTGCGCGTGGTCACTGCTCCTCCTCCGAGGACTCCTGGGAGATGCCCTCCTCTTCCTCCTTCTCCTGTAGGAGGCAGAACAACTCTGGGCCTGGCCCTCCTCCTTTGCCAACCCCTCCCTCCCAGGCTCTCCTCTGCAGAAGGGGGATGAGTCAAGGCTGAGTGTGTGGTGACTCAGCAACCTCCACGCTGCTTTCATTCATAAAAATGAAGGATTTAAAGGGAGGAAAACCCACACACACACTTGCTCTCACATCCAGGCAGCTCTCACGCAGGCCAGACCAGGCACCTAGCCCAGGCTGAGCTGAGGGCTGAGGAAGTGGCAAGCTCTCCAGGGAGGAGGCAGAAGGGCACGAGACAGTAACAGGAGGGGAGCCACTAGGTGGCCTAGGGCAGGTGTGGTGCCGGCTGCATCCAAGAAGGCCTGAGGTAGCCAATGGCTGACAGTGAGCCAGGGTGGGAAGGAAGAGAGCCCCAGGGGTTCACTCACTGGACGGGAATGTTGGGACACCACAGGGCCCCACAGTGCCAGGCAAACTCCAAAACAACTAATTTCCTGTTACTCATTCTTGGGGTCTAGCCAGCAGGGCCCCCCAGCCCCTCCACTAAGGGTGGCTCAGCTCAAGGAATGCCTTGGGTAGCTTGGAAACAGGACCAAGAACACAGTATCCTGGAGGCACAGGCCCCTGCATTGGCCCCCACTGTCCCCTGTCCAGATCCTCATTTCCTGGCCTTTCCACGAAGGTCCTAATAAGGGGGTACATGGGCACAAAGCGTGCCTCCCACAGTGGGTACCTGAAATTAGGAATTATCTTCTCAAGCAGAAGAGAGTCCTGAACTCATGTTAACAGGTTTCACGCATGCTCATCAAACACCCCTGGCCACACTGGGGGCATTCTTAACACTGCCCCCAAAGAATGAGAACCTACCAGTTTCTTGGGTCTGCCCCTCGGTTTCCTCCCTGGAGCTGCAGCCGTTTTCTAGAGTGAGAAGAAACAGCTCTCAGTCCAGAGTGCTGAACAGTCCTCACCGCCATAAAGCCCCAGGTGAGGCAGGCGTGGAGCAGTCCGGGACCACCAGCAGGTCCACCCTGGCCAGCTGCTGATGACTGGCCAGTCCACGCCCCCACATCCAACACACACACACCCCTACTCCCCCTTCCACAAGTGACTCAGAGGATATGAGTCGCGCGCTAAAAAGTAAAATAAAAACAAAGGCGGCTCTTTGGAGGGCCGTGGCACCGACTCCCTGCACGGTGCATGCCCTCAGGATGAACAAGGGTGACAGTCCCAGCGCAGAGCAGGCACAGGCCTTCACTCTCACTATCTTGCCTTTTTCTAGGCCTAACTTGGTTTCTCCACTGTCCTGGGCACTGCAATTTCCACAATTAGCAACGACCCACAGATGCGCTTGGCATAAATACATAAGAGTCTCACCCGTGTCTTGGCGGCACCCTTATTTTTGCTTCCCTTTGGTCGGCCCCGAGGTCTCTTGGGTGTTGGCACTTCACTGGGCTCCTTCTGCAGAGACAGGTGGGAGTCAGGGATATGGCAGCAGCCAAAGCCCTGGGGACTCCAAATTTGCCTGACCATCATCAAGTTCCTGGCCCCCAGCCTCTGAAGGTTGTAGACCAAAGATAAGAAATCAAAGACCTCTGGGAAAGATGTCCCTGGGGCAGGGAAGCCACTGCTAGGTGGCCCTGATCAACTCTTGTGCTACTGATCTGCAAACTGCCTAATCCCATAGTCTGTCTCACCTGTAAAAGGTGGCGTGTTAACACCTAGGGTGTCAGGTGAGTCAAATCCCCGGCAAAGTCAGTGTCCAGCATTGGCCACAACTGCTGCCACCCCTCCTGTCTTACATGGGAAACCCCTCTCCAGGAAAGAGGCCACACACAGACCTGACCTCTGGTCAGCCCAAACCAGAATAAAGGTTGTGTTTTAAGTCAGGCATGGGGGCTCCCTCCCACTTATAATCAATACCAGCACTCAATAATCTGAGCCAGGAGTATACAGTGAACGAGGCAATCCTGGACCACAAAACCAAAGGCCAGCCTTGGTCCAGTAATCGGGATGGAAAACAGAGGGTGCTGGGCCTAGTCCCCCACCCTTCTCTGGAGACTCACCCACCCCCACAGGGCCACCAACAGCCCCCCCTCACTCGGGAGACCACTGAGAGCTCCAGTGCAGAGCCAGGCAGGTGGCACAGCCAATATCCTGCTGCCACCCTCCCAGGGACCTCTCGCGGGGTTTCAATGCCCACTTACAAACACCCCCCCCCACCGGACACAGGAAGGACAGAAATGGGCAGTAGGATGGAGAAACCTGGCAGTAACTGGACAAGAGATGGAATATGTGTTTAAAACTGTGTACAGTAACAGACCAGTGAAGAGCTGGGCCCCACACCTGCCTCCACTCTTCTGGGTGGGTTGCCATGTGGTGACGCTCCACACCGAGTTCCTCAGACAGTTCTTAAAGGCAGTGAGCACACAGACGGGAAAGGCAGGCACACAGAAGGAGACACATTCTGCACCCTCCCAGGACGGTCACACCCTGCTGGGTGCAGGTGCCTCCCTAGCCCGAGAAAGGAAACAAAAGCAAGGCTTTGCTCACCCACCTGACTCCCTACCAGCGCCGTCCCAGGACTCACCGGAGGCTGCTTGCGCGGCCTGCCCCGGCCTCGCTTCTCAGTCCCGTCCTTCTCCTGCTTGGAGGCCAGGGGCTGGCTGGACTTTGAGCTGGACTCGCTCATCTTTCTTCTCTACGGGGCAGTGAGGGGGACTGGCTGTGATGCTGGGAGACAAAGTGGTGCCAGTTACACAGGTGCCCCACCATTCCTCCCACCGCTCACCATCCCAAGGAACACCGCAGGGACTGCCAGAGCGGCGGGCAGCTCAGACCTGGCTGGAGGGGCGAGGCCGGCCCGGGGCAAGTTGAAGTGGTTCCTCACAGCCGCCGCCCCCCATCCTGCCAGGGCAGCCACCCCGCAGGTCCAAGCCTGAGAACCAGAACAAATGCCAGAGCCCATCACATACCTAAGACCCAGAGACGGTGGCAACGGGTAGGGATGGAGGAGTAGGAAGGGCAGATTCTCAAATAGACCCTGCCAATTAAAAGATTCTCTGGGTAGCAAGGCCTGATTCTCCAGGTCCAGACAACGCCGTGTCTGTGTGTGTGTGTGTGTGTGTGAGAGAGAGAGAGAGAGAGAGAGAGAGAGAGAGAGAGACACCGAGACCCCTAAGGCTGGTCGAAGTGTGTGTGTGTGTGTGTGTGTGTGTGTGTGAGAGAGAGAGAGAGAGAGAGAGAGAGAGAGAGAGAGACCGAGACCCCTAAGGCTGGTCGAAGTGTGTGTGTGTGTGTGTGTGTG